TCTATAATCTATAAGTTATTATGAAGATTTAATTCTCTATAATCTATAAGTTATTATGAAGATTTAATTCTCTATAATCTATAAGTTATTATGAAGATTTAATTCTCTATAATCTATAAGTTATTATGAAGATTTAATTCTCTATAATCTATAAGTTATTATGAAGATTTAATTCTCTATAACCTATAAGTTATTATGAAGATTTAATTCTCTATAATCTATAAGTTATTATGAAGAATCAATTCTCTATAATCTATAAGTTGTTAAGAGGAATTAATTCTCTATAATCTATAAGTTGTTAAGAAGAATTAATTCTCTATAATCTACAAGTTGTTATGAAGAATTAATTCTCTATAATCTACAAGTTGTTATGAAGAATTAGTTCTCTATAAACTATTATGAAGAATTAGTTCTCTGTAAACTGTTATGAAGAATTAATTCTCTATAATTTTCTGAAAATGCTTTTTCACGACTTGACGTATGTAGAAAATTTGGAACGAATAAAAAACACACCTAAGAATGATTAATGTTGGCTTTAGCCACAAGAGAAATCTTAGAGGTTATAACTGTTATACTAAAGTCGACTGTCTCAAGTAGTAACTTTATCAAGGCCAAGTTGTTAGGACGCTCGACTCGCAATCTGTAGGTCGCGGGTTCGAGTCTCTGTCACATGAAACATGCTCGCCCATTCAGCCGTGGGGGCGTTATAAAGTGACTGTCAATTGCACTATTCGTTGGTAAAAGAGTAGCCAAAGAGTTGGTGGTGATGATTAGCTGCCTTCCGTCTAGTCTGTCACTGCTAGATTAGGGACGGATAGCGTAAATAGCCCTCGTGTAACTTTGTGCGAAATTCAAAATAAACCAAACCAAAATGTATCACCTGTTCTAATATTCCAAAAAGCATATTTTCTATATTACTGACTTTTCATTTATACAGGCTTTTAATTGAGGGAATTATCTGTGCTCGTTTCATCTTTGTTAGCGCTTAACAGAGATAATTCTGACCTATAATACATAAGTAACTATTATTTTCTTATTATTGTGTTACACGGATGTAACACGTTTCGTGCCTTTGTATGCTGTTCATTAGAACGTGACGTATCTGAAGGAACTCAAAATCTTAACAAAACATTTATAAAATAAAAATGGTATAATTACCAGGTATTGTTCTTGTATAAGGACAGCTAGCTTATTGCATAGTTTTATCAATCGATAATAGCAAAATGGCATCGTTATAGGTATTTTAATTCAGGTAATAAATTTTCATCTTTTAAGCACGTTTAATATATTTTGTGTATCGAGAAAAAATATTTTGTCACAGCATTTATAGAAATATAGGAAAAATATATTAAAATCAAATTGAATTTTTAGATTTTTACCAGCTTCTAAGTTGGACAGAAAACTGTGTGTTGAAACCCAATGACCTCTTAAGCGGTATTTATCTAATTTTGTGTGTTATTTTTAGTTAAAAAATCGTTTTGCCATGTACCGTCGAACTGCTTAGCCTTGAAACTTTCAAGTTCGTCTACACGTGTTAGCAGACGGATTGGCGACACGTATAAGCAGGTGTAGAAATGTGTTATCAGGTGAATTTGTTCGCAAGCGTTATCTTCTACTTTCGTGTAGCTTTCTCAGCGAAAAAGTTTGTTTATTGTTCATATAGTAAGGCAGGTTTTTACTTTATTTGTCATATTACACATTATCATAATTTTCTTCCGTGTATAAATAACGTTTATCGAAACTGAATATATTTGTGGTCTACGTAACATATATATATTTACTACGCTGTATGCTACCGTTAATTTTCTTTTATGCTTTAAATGGCGAACCTTATTACGTCATATCAGTTTTTGTTTAACCAGAAGCGTACAGAGATGTATATGTATATCGAATATAGATCTGGTCAACCAGTACAACTACTGATACATACTAAAAGATGTGACAGAAAAACTAAGAGCACGTGATAAATATCCAACGATAAACCATTTTGTGTTAACAAGTTTGAAGAGTTAAACTGTGTTTCCGCCTAGGTAATTGAGTTAAACTGTGTTTCCCCCTAGGTAATTGAGTTAAACTGTGTTTCCGCCTAGATAATTGAGTTAAACTGTGTTTCCCCCTAGGTAATTGAGATAAGGTGAACACTACTAATTTGTTGGGTTTTTTTTCTGTGACCTTGTCATTCAGTTTTATAGAAAGTCTCATTTTGAAAGTGAACGCCATGTATATTTTCCATAATGATCCAAGCGACAAATACCGGTAGGCTGAAACCTTCGCATGTATGTGTATCAGTCTAGAAGTTTTAGTTTTGCAGAACAGTGATTAGCTACAACCCATAAATTTGTTGTCGAAAGATAAATGATTTTTTTATTTAAACTACAAAAAAAAAAAGAATATAAATGTTCTTGTGAAGTATCGGTAAATATAAAAACGGTGAGTTTCAAATTTATTAACTTTAGTTCGTATACAGCACTACAGGTACTGTTCTACTTGACACATTAAAAAAAATGTACGCTTTTTTTACACACACACACACTCTTTCTCTCTCTCTCTCTCACACACACACACACACTCTCTCTCTCTCTCTCACACACACACACACACACACTCTCTCTCTCTCTCACACACACACATTCTCTCTCTCTCTCTCTCACACACACACACACACACACACACACACCTATATCTACATAGAAGTCAGTGAAATCCAGCGATATTCTTTGTTTACTTTATCCAGCTGTTCCAGTAGAAACGATAGTGGTAACACAGTGCTAGTAATCCGTTTTGTTAAACGAGTCTATCTCTACATCTTTGTGTTAGTCGAAGTCACAGAATAGGTTCGGTGGGATAGAGGGAGACTCAAATGTATAATCGCCGACACAGTTGTTTTCGTACACTTTATCACGTTAAAGTACGTTGGTAAGTAGTTGTTGGTGAGTATTGCGGGTGCAACGTAACTCCCGCTAGAAGACAGAAATGTATTGATTTTTCTCGGAAATGCAGACCAGCGTTACCTTCAAAGTGGGAAGCAGCTGTAGGATTAAGCCTATCTAAAGAAAGACAGCCAAGCTGTAGTATGTCGTCCGCCATAAATTCTGTATTGTGGCATTTTGATTATAAGTTAACGTAGCGTGCGGTTACATTATAATAAAAACGTTGTTAGGCTGTGCATTTGCTACATTTTGAAGGGTCCATACGAGTGTTTATTGGACGTATAGTAAAATACGCTTTCAAATCAATTGTGTATATAGCCTTTTCTGGTTTGGACCTGTACAGTAGTTTGACTAAACAGGCTGACCGTTTGTTTACCAACTAGCCAATAGGCCGACATAAAGTGCGTCTTCAAAGAAAGATTCGTTTGCTGTTTTAATGTTTGTACATTATGTTACGGAGAGCTAGTAAGGAGGAGGAGCTGTTAAAAAGGTTTGATTGTTTTCGTTATTTTGGGTGAGCTGTTAAAAAGGTTTGATTGTTTTCGTTATTTTGGGTGAGCTGTTAAAACAGTTTGGTTGTTTTCGTTATTTTGGGTGAGCTGTTAAAACAGTTTTGTTGTTTTCGTTATTTTGGGTGAGCTGTTAAAACAGTTTGGTTGTTTTCGTTATTTTGGGTGAGCTGTTAAAACAGTTTGGTTGGTTTCGTTATTTTGGGTGTACTGAAGAATACTACCTAATCTATGGATTCTTTATAAAGCTGATAAGGTGAGAAGACTTGAAAGCAACCTGTTGATGAAAGTAAGTTTAGAATTTCATGACGTAACGATGTATAAAATCGTATAAGATTAGTAAGGTTTTACCTAACCAAACGTACCATTAAAGGCTATGATAATAAAATTTTGTTTTTTAACACACAACAAAAAGATTTGCTGTTCATATTACTGGCTGAGGATTTGCAAATATCATTACCAAATGGAGCCCTGTTGAGCCAATGCATTACTTAAAGCAACTTTTACAACCGGTTTTGTACAGTATCTATACTCTTGGCAGTATTGGTAGTTCGTAATTCCCATCCGTTATTTCTACTCCAACATATTTCATCTCTACAAATAGAAAACTTATAGAATTATTAACCCCCCTTTTTTCAATATGTTTTTTTTTCTTTCTTTTCTTGCCTAGTTCTTCCAACAATGTAGTAGAAGTTTTAAGGGGCCCTAAAAATAGTCATCAAGATGCATACCCCAGTCTCTAGCATGGTGGGTTCAGTGAAGGCTGAATCTCCACCTAATGAAGACATTGGTGGGAGTCGCTCATCACCGGCTTCACTGGGTATTATGTTCAGCAGTACAGATAGGGAAGACTTTGGAACAAGGTAGAGTATTAGATTACCACAGGTAAAAAAGGATTTCCATTAATACAAATTTTTATGTTTAGTATAAAAAACAACTTGGTGTATTAGTTATTTTCATCGTTCATATACACTGTAAGAATGTTTGTTCATTTTCCATTAATGATAACCAGTATATCAGGTGACAATGGACTTGAAGCATTTTGGATTATCATTAGTAGTAAACCTTTAATTCCATGTTTGGACAAAACCAGTTTGTATATAAAAAAAGTAGCTTCTGAATTATAGTATTTTGGCACTTGTGTATAAAGTTAAAATCATAAATAATATTCAACGTTAAACTGGTACACAATTAAAAACATTTTATTTAGGCCTATCTATGGCCTAAATAAAATGTTTTTAATTGTGTACCAGTTTAACGTTGAATATTATTTATGATTTTAAGTACCTTCTGGTTTCAAAAAATTAATTTCAAATTGATGACCTTTCTATTTTTTTCAAAAAGTTTTACAGAATTGATAAGTCATAGTTGGATATACCTTTATTACAGTTATAAGGTGTTTTTGAAATCTGGCAACAGTGATTAAACAGTTGCTGTGCACTTTTATAGCAACCAAGGCATGTATTGCATACAAAGTTAAACAAGTCAAGGAGAACCTCTTTCTACAGAAGTGGTTGCAACTCTGGCTTTCTATGTTATCTAATGTTTGTTTGTGTTATCTGTGACCTATTTACATATTTTCTGTTAATATTAGGTAGTTACAGATAGATTCTTGGAACTGTTTTTCAAAGTACTGACATCAGCCTAATCTACTTGTTTTTGAGAAATATTTATTAGTAGTTGTGTTATTGATTGTTACAAATTTTGTTTTTTTACTAATAGTACTGACAAGGAGGATTGCTTTGATAAAGGGTATGTTTTATTAATTTACTAATAGTAAAATATATTTATGCCTGCTCATTCTAATACTGTAGAAGTTTTATATTTTAGTTTAGATATTAACAGTAACTTGCAATTGTTTGTGTGTGTGTGTGTTTGTGAAAACAAACACTGTAGTAACATGTTACAAAATAAATATCATCACCAAAAATGTAATTTCTCTTAGTTTCTTTCTTGCCTAGCTGCTACTGTATTTGGTCTGATGTGATTTTAATGTTGTCTTTGCAGTGTTCATTAATCAGGATTTTGTTACATTGCCTGTTTTTTAAATTAATATGAACTTGTTAACATTTAATGCCATACAGTTGTAATGTTAGACATTTAGTATTAATTCCTTTCTTCCTTTCCTTTTTCTGCTGTACAATGTTGTACTGCTAAAGTTTATAATATATGCATAACCCTGCCAAAATTTTGCAGATGTATGATGTCACCATCGGGGTAAATATCTTGTATTCATATTCATTTTTGTGACTCCGCTTTAAATAATAAAAAATATATATATGCAGCTCTGATTATTTGAGACTACTTTCATTAGTACTAAATTAAATGTGTATATATTACTGAGAGAAAACATGCAACTCAACTTTCTTTGAATTAAGTGACTAACAAAAACTAGGTATATAAAAATCACTAACATTAAAACAAGTTTTAAAAATGCATATCTTATTAATTTATTATATTTCTAACTACAGTGCCATATTAACAACTTTGCATACCTTCTGTTTTATCAACACAAATAACTGAAAAAAAGAAACGTTTGTTGTATTATGTAAATAATAAACCTTTTAAAACTGTGTATTTTAAACATACAGTATAATTCTAAAATGTATTTTATTAAGATTTTTAATGTGTTATTTATAAGTCTTAATAACCATGTGACATACACCAAAAACATTACACAATTTTAATACTCCAACACTTGCCTTTGAGCTGGAATGGTTGCACAGTGTCTGATGCCAGGTCCTAAGGAGAGTGACAGTGTGTGTGTGTGTGTGTGTGTGTCTGAGAGAGCTATATCAGAGGACATTGGGGATCACAGACAGCCAGTGTTCTCTGACACTCTGAAAGCTTAGTTGTGAAAGACACTTAAATTTTGGTCTAAGCTGAATAAATTATTTATATATATGGTTTTAGTTTCCGAAGTGTCAGGAATTAGTTCCAATTTCAAGTGCCAAAATAGGATTCTGGTTCACTCCAGCAGTACTTCACCCTTGTTTCTGTACCTGATTGTCACATGTACTAACTTTTGTATTTGTATGCAGTGGATGACATTTAACTATTTCCTTCTCTGCCTGATTGCCATGTAATAACTTCCTTATTTCCATACTGGTGTAAAATAATCATACAAATTATGTGACAAATGTTTCTTCATTATGACACTTTATTAATGTTGATGGGTTTAATGGGATACTTCTGTGTGCTGGATGCATAACTTGTTAAATGCTTTAGCTACAGTGTCAGAGAATAGAAGGAAAAGAAGTTAGTGAGTGTATTGTTACAAGATGAAATGTCTGTTGTTGTGTGCTGTGTTGGATATGTTAAGTATTATAGTTTAAACTATTGAAATATTTGAAGCATCTTGCTCCAACACAAGGAGCTTAATTCAAAGTTTATTCTTGTTATTGTGTGCTGTGTTGGATATATTAAGTGTTATAATTTAAACTATTAAAATATTTGAAGCATCTTACTCTAACACAAGGAGCTTAATTCAAAGTTTATTCTTGAACATTATTTATTGTTGCCTAGTTGCTCTTTAGGTAATGACCTAATTTGTTTAGTGACAAAAATAACCATCTGTCTAACATAGAAAATAAAAATGCTATGATAATTAGATTTTACAATTTTTAAAATTGATCAATTTTAAATATGATTTAGAAAAATAAAATTAAGAAAAAGTTAACCCATTGGTTTTTGCTCCTGATAAGACTTATCCCTGTATAATAAACTTAGTATTCTGAAAATTGTTTAATTTCAAAGTTCAATCTATATAGCGATGTAGTTACTACAAAGCACATTCACACCAACAGCTACATAAAAGTAATGCTTAAGAAATTGTTATGTATTACACACACACACACACACACACACGTATATATATGTATATATCACCTGTCATATCATTCTTGACCAAGGTACAGAGACTCGGCTGATTAATTTATTGAAGGTGCTCTTAGTCATTTTATTACAGTGATATATATAACCCAAATCTACTACATCTGTTTGATTGCTTTTGTAATTTATTGAATTATATATTCACTTATTGATAAGCAAGAGAAATTGGTGATTAAATTTTAAAGCAAAAGCTTAGGCTTGCGAAATACTCTGCAGAAATTTCCACAGGGTTATAAAGGAAATCATATTATAATTGTCTCTTAGAATCATCTTTTTGGGAGATAGAATTGACTAGAGAAAACTATGCAAAAAAAAAAAAAAA